GAAATAAAGATAAAAGTAAGTGTAGAGACTGTAACTGCACACAGTGTAGCTTCTTTATTAAGGACACCATTGAGCCCACACTACCTGTCCTTAATACAGAGGTGTCCTCATTTCAGAGGTACTTTTGTATACCAATTGAGACATTAAACAAAACAGAACTATCCTTATTATAAAGGTGTCATAATTTTGTCCTTTAGAGGTGTCAATCCTCATTTTAAAGGTATCAATACTCTTGTCCTTATTAAAGAGGCTACACTGTATATATTATCCTAATCTCTTGCTGTAGGGTGGTAGCTCTGAAGATGATCCTACTCCAGTTACTATACTAGACACGCTCAATGATATAGTGTCTCAGTATGGAGATAGACCAGCACTGAAAGTGAAGAGAGGAGGGGAATGGAAGACATGGAGTTATACTCAGTATCATGCTGATGTACAGAGAGTTGCTAAGAGTTGTATTGCTATTGGATTGGAGCCTCATTATGGTGTCTCTATTATTGGGTTTAACTCACCTGAATGGGCCATGACTTTCATGGGAGCTATAATGGTAAGAGAGAGAGAGTTATTCTATTATTCTGGTCATGCTTCTGTGAATAATAATTGTAGCATAAACTATAAACAAAAAACAAAGTGAAGCCCCCCATTACATTAATGCACTCTACATATTCTTATGTAATATAGAAAGTTCCAATCATACTGTAGTACTACTAACTTCCTTAGTGTAAATAGTGCAAGTATTAATAATCCTTATCTTTGCACTTTACTTACATGCAGCCCTACATCCTGTGTACCTAAGCCTCATACCCTATACCATACAAATGTCACATCATAAAACTATATGGTTTCTTTAATATTGTTGTTCATATTAGCCATCTGTTGCCATTAAGATAATTAATTTGTTATTGTTATTATTATTATGATTATTATTATTATTATTATGCTATGTTAGGCTGGTGGTATTCCTGCTGGTATATACATTACCAATAATAAAGGTACGTTTCACTCATTATTAGATTTGCTGTATAAACTGGTATTTAATTAATACTCACTACATCTATACACCTGTCACTGTTTACTAGCTATGCCCTTCTTTCTTACTCTGTCTTTTACAATTAGTATTGTCCTTATTTGAGCCTATCATCTCTCTCTCTCTCTCTCCCTCCTTCTCTCTTTTATTCTCTTCCTTTCTCTTCCTCTTTTTATAGAGGCGTGTCAGCACATTGCTA